GACAGAGTTGGTTGTTCAGGTTTCAGTGTGGATTTATATGAAATAGTAGAAGGTGCTTCTGTAGATGTTGTTTCAACAGTGGGCTTTGATGATACTGTTGTGCTTTCTGTACTTGTTGCTGTGTTCCCTGCTGTTGAAGCTGTAGTTTCAGGAACTGCTGTTGTAGAAAAAGTTACTTGTCCGGTTGTTGCTATGGTGGGTTTTTTGGTCTCTATGCTTGGTCCTGTGATTTCTGACAGGGTAGTTTCCAGAGATTGTGTCGAACTTTCTGTACTAGTGGCAGACGGTGTTGGTGTAGTTGTGGTACTTGTGGAGGGCTTAGATGTAACAGTGGAGCTTTCTGTTCTGGTAGGCTGGATTCCTGGTCCTGTGCTTGAGATTTCAAGGACGACTGTAGTGGAAACTGTCACCGGACCAGAGGTACCAACTTTAGGAGGGATAGTAGTCCCAAATTTACCTGTTGTAATTTCAGACAGAGTTGGTTGTTCAGGTGTCAGTGTGGATTTATATGAAATAGTGGAAGGTGCTTCTGTAGATGTTGTTTCAACAGTGGGCTTTGATGATACTATTGTGCTTTCTGTACTTGTTGCTGTGTTCCCTGCTGTTGAAGCTGTAATTTCAGTAACTGCTGTTGTAGAAAAAGTTACTTGTCCGGTTGTTGCTATGGTGGGTTTTTTGGTCTCTATGCTTGGTCCTGTGATTTCTGACAGGGTAGTTTCCAGAGATTGTGTCGAACTTTCTGTACTAGTGGCAGACGGTGTTGGTGTAGTTGTGGTACTTGTGGAGGGCTTGGTTGTAACAGTGGAGCTTTCTGGTCTGCTAGTCTGGATTCCTGGTCCTGTGCTTGAGGTTTCAAGGACGACTGTAGTGGAAACTGTCACCGGACCAGAGGTAACAACTTTAGGAGGGATAGTAGTCCCAAATTTACCTGTTGTAATTTCAGACAGAGTTGTTTGTTCAGGTTTCAGTGTGGATTTATATGAAATAGTAGAAGGTGCTTCTGTAGATGTTGTTTGAACAGTGGGCTTTGATGATACAATTGTGCTTTCTGTACTTTTTGCTGTGTTCCCTGCTGTTGAAGCTGTAGTTTCAGGAACTGCTGTTGTAGAAAAAGTTACTTGTCCAGCTGTTGCTATGGTGGGTTTTTTGGTCTCTATGTTTGGTCTTGTGATTTCTGACAGGGTAGTTTCCAGAGACTTTGTCGAACTTTCTGTATTAGCGGCAGACGGTGTTGGTGTAGTTGTGGTACTTGTGGAGGGCTTAGATGTAACAGTGGAGCTTTCTGTTCTGGTAGTCTGGATTCCTGGTCCTGTGCTTGAGATTTCAAGGACGACTGTAGTGGAAACTGTCACCGGACCAGAGGTAACAACTTTAGGAGGGATAGTAGTCCCAAATTTACCTGTTGTAGCTTCAGACAGAGTTGTATGTTCAGGTTTCAGTGTGGATTTATATGAAATAGTGGAAGGTGCTTCTGTAGATTTTGTTTCAACAGTGGGCTTTGATGATACTATTGTGCTTTCTCTACTTGTTGCTGTGTTTCCTGGTGTTGAAGCTGTAGTTTCAGGAACTGCTGTTGTAGAAAAAGTTATTTGTCCAGCTGTTGCTATGGTGGGTTTTTTGGTCTCTATGCTTGGTCCTGTGATTTCTGACAGGGTAGTTTCCAGAGACTTTGTCGAACTTTCTGTACTAGCGGCAGACGGTGTTGGTGTAGTAGTGGTGCTTGTGGAGGGCTTGGATGTAACAGTGGAGCTTTCTGGTTTGGTTGGCTGGATTCCTGGTCCTGTGCTTGACGTTTCAAGGACAACTGTAGTGGAGGATGTCACCGGACCAGAGGTAACAACTTTAGGAGGGATAGTAGTCCCAAATTTACCTGTTGTAGCTTCAGACAGAGTTGTTTGTTCAGGTTTCAGTGTGGATTCATATGAAATAGTGGAAGGTGCTCCTGTAGATGTTGTTTCAACAGTGGGCTTTGATGATACTATTGTGCTT